ATAATTATTATAAATTATGAGATTAAAGTGGAAATTATAAAAAATAGTCCGATTATTATTTGTCGTTAAAGATTTTATATTCGTGGTAAAGTTTAATTAAAATTAATAATGCAAAAACAATATAATGTTTGTAAATTTACTTTTATTGTCTATACATGTATACATTTCATGTATTTACATATACGGCGGTATTCATTCGTGTCTCCAAATAATCATTTTATTTGGGTTATTGGATGATCGAAAGTTACGATTTATAAATTTTAACGTGTAATATAACCGTATTCTAAAAAATAATTTTTTTAAGTATAAATGTGGAAACCTGCTGCATGGGTGCTTAAATGTTGTTAGTTCAGCCTCTGTTAATAATTTTTGTATAACATTTTTCTCTAAAACAATATTTTGAAAGTGCTCATTGAAAATCGCTTCCAATGAGCACACGTAAAAAATGAAATTATTATGTGGCAATTTTAAATTCCCGAAATTTGAATTTTGGTTTTGGTATGCTTTCAAGAAACAAAAAATGCTCCTATTTTGGCAGCCTCGAACGCTGCAAATTAGGTAATTTTTGCTTTTATTCATTTTGGCGTCTGATTTATGCAATATTTCACCGAAAATTAACCTCTGTGGCGTCACACCGACTTTGCGCTACCACACATACTAAGCGTCACACCGATTTTGCACTACCACATATATAAAAATCCTCTGATTGGTCTCCGCCAAAATAATGGCGATGCGCAGTACGGATCGGCGCAAACCACGAAAAAGTGTAAGAGTGAGCATACTAGTTATACTATGCTATATATATACACACATATCAATAAATTACTTCCCTTAGCACTAAAAAATAATATTTTGTTATTGTTATTTTGTTATTGTTATATATTGTAATTTTATTTTGTTATTATTCAAAAGTGTTCTTTAAACTATTCAACTTTTGTTTAAATTTTTTTCTATCTTTTATCTACTTTATTTTTTTCTATCTTTCGGAGATATTCGGCCCAAAAGAGAAAAGCCGATTGTTTTCAAAGGAGTGTTTTACACCCCTAAATATGCGTATAAATAAGTATATATCTACTCCTTTATTTTGTATAGAAAACAACATATTAAAAGATCATCAAAATCGGAGGCGGACACTTCCATATTTTTCCTTGTGAGATATTTTAAATTTTCGAACTTTTATTTCGGACTTTTACATCTGTAATTTCATACGTAATTGGAGAGGGAAATGCTGCTTATTTTACAAATACAACCACAATTAATATTTAGCAATGACGAAGGATTAATTTGAAACGTTTCGCCGTATATTCTAATGTGCGCGAGAAAAGAAGAAGTAGTAGGAAAGGATATTAAAAAAAAAAAACGATTGTGTGCGTTATAAGAAACGATAAAACTTATGTTTTAAAGTTTTTTCTATTTTAATCCAATGTGGAACGATTTGAAATAAAGTATAATTCCGACTTCTTTCAAAATCCATAATCATTTTAACGATATTAATCCGGGAACGGGCGCCTGGAGTAAATTTTACATCCCAGTATCGAAAAAATAAAGCTCACGTTATAGTAACCTTTTTCAAGAAAGGTAAAAAAAGGCCAAGTACACGCAACGTATTTTGTAAATTCAAAAAAGGTGGTAGTTTTATTTCTTCTTAACAAAATTATATCGCAAAATTACGTTACCTAGCTCAACCTAATCCACTTAAATATCCCCAATGTATATCTATGACCTTTTTCAAAAAAAGGTAAAAAAAGGCGCCAAGTACACGCGCAATGTATGTTGTAAATCCAAAAATCTTAAATGGTAGTAGCTTTATTTCTCCCTAACAAAATAATTTACAAAATTACGTTACCTAACTCAACCCAAGTGATATGTATTTCAAAAAAAGATGTAAAATCTTTAAATTGCGCCAATTGCAAAGAAAATATGTATATTAAGGTGGAGCGAAAAAAAATTTTTTTGAATTTTATAACGTAACTAAACGAAAAAGATGTAAATATGGGATTTAACACTAATATCTGTAAAATTTCAACTTAATCGGAGCTCATCTTCTGCCTCCAACTTTCGTTTCAAAATTTCCCATGTAGAAAAATATCCGTTTTTTGGCCCACGTCAGAATCGCTTCAAACTGTGGTATTTTCTTCCTACCGATGTAGCTTACAATCTCCTAGAACCGTTTGCTGTCCGAGCAATTAGAGGCTGAGTACGGGCAACTTAAAATCTCAAAAATCAATGGAGTTTTTCACATGGTGGTAGTGCCGGTCTCATTTCAGCATATCATTGTTGGGAGGGAGGGAGAGAAAGGAAGGGAGGGAAGGGGAGGGAGAGTGGGAGGTAGAAGAGTGGGAAGGAGGAAGGGAGGGAGGTAGAAAAAAGAGAGAGAAAGAGAGAGAGAGAGAGAGAGAGAGAGAAAGAGAGAGGGAAAAAGGGAAAAGAAGAGGGAGAGAGGAAAAGAGAGATAAGAAAAGGGAGAAAAGGGGGAGAGAGAAAGAGAGAAAAAGAGAGAAGGAGGGAGAGGAAGAGAGAGAGAAAGGGAGGGAGGGATAGAGAGGGGCAGAGGGGGAGAGGGAGAGAGAAGGGGAGAGGGAGAGCGAGAGAGAGAGAATGACGGGAATCAGACGAGAGAAACCAGGTCTGCCTCCCTCTCCCTGTCACCCTCTTCCTCCCTCTCCCTCTTTTTCCTTCCTTTTCCTATCTCTCTTTCTCTTTTTCTCTCCCTTCCTCTCCTTCTATCTCCCTCTCTCTCTCTCCCACCCTTCTTTTCTCTCTCTCTCCTCCCTCTACCTTTCACCCTCCCTCTCTCCCCCCTCAACCTTTCACCCTCCCTTCTTCTGCCTTCCTCTCTCTCCCTCCCTCCCAACAATGACATGCTAAAATGAGACCGGCACTACCACCATGTAAAAAACTCCAATTGATTTTTGAGATTAAGTTGCCCGTTCTCAGTCTCTAAGTAATTGCTCAGACAGCAAACGGTTCTAGGAAGTTGTGAGCTACATCGGTAGGAAGAAAATACCACAGTTTGGAGCGATTCTGACGTAAGCCAAAAAACGGCATTATTGACACCCCTCCTTTTCAGCTGCGTCTTCTTTTTTAATTTTCAAAATTTTGCTTTTAGTAAAATTTTCAAAAAAAAGTTGGAGGCAGAAGATGAGCTCCGATCAAGTTAAAATTTTACAGATATTAGTTTTAGACATATTCGCATCTTTTCTGCCTAGTTGCGTTATAAAATTCAAAAATTTTGTTTTTTATATACAAATTCGCTCTACTTTAATGTATATATTGCTTTGAAAAATAATTGTTGCGTAACTACTTTAAAAAAATAAAACTTAAGTAGTACGTATCTTTGTATTCTCATTCAAGGGTCTTCTCATTCCAACCCAAGCTTTAATTCTTTTTAACAAAATTATAGTATTACGTACAAAGAATCATTTTAATCACAAAGAATTAAAGAGATAACAGTACAAAATAAAAATATTTAATTAAAATAAAATAAATAAATTTTTCTTGTAAAAAATACTTGGAGCTGCTTTTTTAATCCCTTAAATTCAATCAAAATTTTAGTACTTTATTAAATTTCAAGGTGTTGACATCTCATCTCGCGTGGAAGCAAAAATATGACAAAGTGGGAAGGTTCGAATACTTCGAGCTATTTTATTCTAAAAGTGTAGAGGAAAGTACCCGATTATGAGACACCATATCTATTTTGTGTGATTGCCGGAAGTCTATGGGCAGAATTGAAATATAATAGGTCATTTTGAAGGGAATTTAATAAGCTTTAAGATGCTGAAGTGTAAAATTTAATTTAAATATTATTTTTGCTAAAAATTAGAAAAAATGTGAAAAATGAGCTTTCGGCAAAATCGCAAAAGTGTGCTCCTAATATGAGAAACCCCGGGAAATCGCTAATAAAGTGCAAAATACATGATATTGCAATTAAAAAACTTTATTTAAAGTTTTTGAAAGACAAATGTAATGGAGAAGCATATTTGCAACAATTGTAAACTCACTTATACTCAATATTGTACCTAAATCTTCCCCCTCCACCCTTTCCTCTCAAATCAAGGTCAGCACAGTCTTATAAATTCGTATAAACCTTCCCTTAACGTTAATATAGTATTTTCTCTTCTTTTATTACTATACAATAACTTTCATACTTCAGCAACCCAGGAGTACCCTGAGTATCTCATGTTACGAGCACCATGCCTTGAGGTTTCGCGATCACCAAATCTAATCTCTACAATTGAGCAACTCAACATATCCCGTATTTTCCTATTAATACGACCTTACTCTATCTCTGCATGCAGAACTTATTGCCAAATATTTATTAATTATGTAATAAACAAGGTTTAAAGACTCATATCCATGACACTTGACAACATCCAATTTCACAATTTCTTTCTCTGCAACGACTACACGCACGATCAAACAATGAATTTTTCACTAAATAGGTTTTACCCCAAAGGCAATAAGTTCATGGTGGAACCAACAGATAGGGCCTATTAGTTTAGCAGAAACCTCGCTGTCGCATATTAAGAGCCTATCTCATAATAGGGGACTTTCCTCTACATATTTTTATTTTACTTTATGGAGAAACGATGGATTTTAAAATTAAATATATAAAGATTATAATGTAATTTTCAAGAGGAAACAGCGGACAAATTCTGCCAATATTTATAGTAGATTTCATGAGTTTATTTCAGAACAGTATAAAAATAAATTTTTACAACGAACTTTACGGAAAGCTGTTTTAGAAACTGCAACTAAAAAAAGTATCACAGGAAATTTATTTCTAAACCAAAAAAAAAATATCAAAAATTTACTAACGATGTTATTAATGTAGTTTTTCTAGTATTTTGCTGAACAATTATTTCAAACAAAGAAATAACACTATCGCCCAAAAAATTCAAATTATGAAAAAAAAAAGAAAGATAAAACGGTTCGAAAATAACAAAACTATAAATAAATGTGAATATTTCGTTTTTATTAAATGCTAACTTATTTTAAACCTAATTTAGGAATGTATAGACGGACACGTGCGGATATATTTCCTTCCATTGATTAACCATGTTATTAACCAATTGATTTATATTACAGTACATGAAATAAAACTCCTGCAGTTTAGGACATTGTTTCAAAATAATGGAACATTTATCAGGTATATCAAGTTTCGCGTTAACAAGATATAACTTTTTTAAGTTTTTGCACTGCGCTATTAATTCCAACCGGTGATCAGTGAGGACAGTACTGTACAAATGAACTTCTTGCAAGTTTTGATAAGAGGAAAGTAATCTAAATAAGCTGTCATCAGTAACTGGGTATTCGTATCTGTAACAAAAATCATATAATTAGTACAGTACTTTAATTGCAAGAGAAAATTCATGTAACTTATTCAAGATGCTCGCGCAAGAAGCAAACAAATTTCAATAAAGAATACAATAATAAGAGTTTTAAAAGAAAATATAGCGCACACACTTACAGATTAAGGTTCACTTTTTGTAAATTCTTACAGTTAGCGAGAGCATTAATACCCTGAGATGTAAAATAATATGCGTCCAATGAAGATATTACTTCCAAGTCAGGACACGAATTTCCCAACTCTATTAGAACTGCATCGTTTATTAAGGTGCTATCTGCCGATAACTGACGCATCCGTTGATTATTTTGCAGTACTTTGCAAAAACGTTCGGTTCTGTTACCAGTAAGTCTAGTCTCAGAAAGGTTTAAATGTTCCAAATTATTTAGCCCCTCGAGATACAAAAATCCTTCGTCGTTTATGCAAGATTGAAATAGATCCAATTCTAAGAAAAATTTGTATGACAAATTGTTATACAATTTACCAATAATCTTGACAATTATATACACATACTATATGCAAATACCTTTCAAATTTTTGCATGTCTCTGAAGTTTTAAGTAGGACAGGATTTAACTTGATGGAACCGTAACCTCTTAATCTTAAATGCGTTAAACGGCTGCCGCAATTATCAAGAAAGTTTACAAAATCATTAACATCAAAGTTGCATTCTGTAAGATCTAATTGTTGCAAATATTTACATCTAGATGTAAAATAACAAAATAATTTGCACATATATTTGCCTGAGCGAATATATCGCATGTTCAAACGTGTATAGAGTAGAGAATCCCGTGTTAAAGTATCAAAGCGCTTATTATTTACTTCATTCATGCGGCATAATGTTACCACATCTAAGTATTTAAATATTTTTAGTAGTATTTCATTCTGTAAAGATAAAATATAATTAATATAATACAAAATAAATACTTTAATTACTCAAAGAGTACAAAATGTCATTGTAATAAATATTGTGATGAGAAATAGATTTCTTAGAATACTTTACAGGAAGCGCAGATAAACTGCAACGTGATAGGTCCTTGGATTTATCCAATGAGAGTTTCACTCTCTTGACACAATTCGAATTACTTTTCAATAAAATACGATGCGGATATCTCTGATCAAGAGGTTGCTCATAACCAAGGATTATCTCCTGAGATACCTTTTTGTGCTTCAAATTATTCTGAATATTCAATATATTCGATAATATATAAAAAACACCTCTTATGTCGCTGCATATACTATCGGAACAAATTAATTTTTGAATTAATTTTTATTATTGACATAAAAAATAGATTCAAATATTATTTAATGTCGATGATAATAATACCTTTTATAAATAACACAATATTTGGAAAAATTCTGTTGCAGATAAACTATATCTAAGTGTGCACTTTCTGAATCTGTTGTTAAATTATGAACATTGTCATGGTATGGATAGAACATGTAGTTAATTTTTTGGAACACATTAGTTAAACTCTCGTTAAGATTTTTAGATAGGATCAATTCTGATGTACCGATGAGCATCACAGCATCCAGCTTTGTGTAAGAGACCTGTGAACTGTCCTTAAATACTAGTTTGAGCATTTTGGTTTTAAAGTTACACGGCAGCGACAACGGTGGAGAAAATAATCTTGATTTCGGGGGTACAATCTGTGACGATTCATCCCACAACTGAATCCAGTGATTATTGGAATCTTGAGCC